TTTAAATTAGGCTGAAATAGTAAACATGCCACAAAAGTAGATCTACTTCTGTCAATTTTTTCTTCTAAAAAGCATACTCAACACAGTCAATATACATTATATCTTGAACGCAGCACAGTGTGTTTTTTGATTGTAAAATACTGCTTGAAAACAGGTCATCTGAATAATAGTCTCAAATATATAAATACACATATATACATATACACACACGTACATATGCTTATGTGTATATATACACACATATACAATCATTAAGTTAATGTTATGTTCTGTAAAAGGAAAAAGATTTCGGAAACAATCTGATTAGCAGATTAAAACTCCTATCCAAGGAACATACTTCACTACAGTCCCATGGGTCAGAACCAGCTAGGTAAATTCCTCATACCAATAGGGCCACAGACTGGAGAAAAAACAAAACAACCAACAAAACCCACAAAAAAATAACTCCATATATTTCATTTCAGATTTCAAATAACAGGACACCACAGACTAAGAACAATGCCCATTTCACCGATGGATTTATCCTAAGGATAGCCAATTCTGCCAGAAAATTATTTCCCTCCTCCAATCATTTATTTTTTTGATCTGTATTTCCAGCTGTTTACATTCACCCCTGTATCAGTTACCTGCAACTGAAACCCATCTGAAGTTCAACTGAGCACTGTGATTCCACATGAGACACAGTAAATCATCAGCTCTCAAACTGGTGAAATCTTGATTTTCCATAAGTGTCTTTATATAATGTAGGGCAGATTCTACATGAATTTAAATCACTGAAGGTATAATAGGTCCAAGAAGATCTATGCTAGTTTACACCAGCTAAAGATCTCTTAATAGATTTATGGAGAAAGCTTCTTTTTTATTGCTTAGAATTATTTCTACATGAAATGTTTATTTCTTTCCTGAAAGCCTTTCCTTCAGTATAAGGAACGTCTACCCTCTGTTCATTTTATTTAATCTGGTCTTGAAATGAAAAGCTGACAAGTTTTTATACTAGTTATGTGGTTATGTGGGTTTAAAAAAATGAAACAACAAACCAACAAAACCCAAAGAACCTGTCAAGTGTTTCCATGTCTTTCCCTCTTATTTTTTTATACAAATATATTGTATTTTTTCTTCCTGACTCCACTTGGAACTCTTCAGAGCATACTTCTATAATCTCAACTAAAATTTACTCGGTAGTGTATTTATTCTACATTTAATGAGTACCTTCATCCATAATTTAAAAATATGAAGAATAAAAATCCTCTTTTCTATGAAATGAATTTAGAATCTTTGTGGACACGTATAAAGCACTTTGAGATGGTTTTGCATAAAAAGGTGCTGCTTTATATTACATGCATTTAAAGTGGTTTAATATTCTACTCCAAATAGAAGAGAATGTTTTGTAGTCTCAATATCTATTTTGCACATAAAAATTAAATACATTTTGGAATAAAGAAAACTACTCAGTGTAAAGGGATATGAAAGTACTAGATGCTATAGATTTTACAGATGCTCTTCAGCCAAGCAGGAGCACCTGATACCAGAAAAAAATTTTGAGAGGATCTGGAAGAATGGTGCAGACATGCAGATGTCATGATACACTATTTTTCCATGATAGGGAAAAAACATTAAGTCATTTTGAAAAAAATATATTGATATATTCCAAACATATTCATGATAAAATTTAGCCATTGTTCTGGTTGAATACAGGTAAAAATGCAGAAAATAACTTTTGATTTGCTTTAAATTGCACAGAAGACTGATCACTTTTAAAGTGAGAAGCATTTCTTGAACACAAGAATCACAAAGCTTAAATAATTCAGCAGAGCCATTCACATACATTCATGTATTACGAATGAATGCTCTCAGTTATAGTTTATTCCTTATACACACAGCTTTATGCTAATATATTTAATGCTTGTTTGGTTGGTTGTTTTTTTTTTAAGAATTTAACAGTTCAAATGGGAACAGCCTATACCTTGTTAGAATGATGGTTTTAATTTGACTGCTTTGGTCATGATACTTAAGCCACTGCAGTTACTACTTTGAATTTGTTCCTCTGTGGTAATAATTTACAATTTAAAGTTTAAAAAGTTTCGAAATGCTGTAAGGGTGGCTTGTCTGTGGAGAATAGAGTAAGACAGTTACGATGGTTAAATCTAGAAGCAACTTCTTAATCTTCTGATCTCCTTTAATATTGGTGTTACATACTTTTCCATCAAAATACACACAGAACCATACATTCGAGTGCCAAGACATTCTGACTCAGAAGAGAACAATTCCAACCAACCAATTGATTAAAAGAACATGAAATAGGTTTCACTAGGGTAAATAAAATATCCTGCGCTATATAAACTTTAATGGCTGAGAGCAAACATGAGGCTAACATCCAAATAAATTACTCCCAATGCTAACTTAATTTCAAATTGTTTATGCCTAAATGCAGGGATTTGTCTGGGAGTTACTGAAATCATTCAAGCAGCTTCAGCTACTCAGTACCACTGTAACGATAAGGCAACCTAGAAATTGCTGCTTTTAATCATTTTCCTAGTCATTTAGCTGGAACAAGTCTTCCTACTTAGCTCAGAATTAAGTTTGCAGGAGCTTAGAAAACAGAATGTACTACATGATTACAGTCATACCATCATATTATTTTCAGAATAGCTCAGTCCATCTTATCTGGGGACTCCTTTAAAGCAACTTCTCTCCTTACACTCAACAACTTGAACATGGGAAACAATGTTTTTATACGTTAGGATGTGGTAAGATGACTCTCTGGATCCCACAATTGCACTTGAGACTCTTTTAGAAGATATCCACTTTCAGGAGATGACCATGGAAGAAAGTTAGCCACAGAGAGATCTTCTTGCTTACCTGAATGTCCCCCCATCCCTCGCCAAGGCATACACAAGACGACACGTACTAGCTAGAAGATTTGATGGTACACACCATTGTGAACCAAAATGGGCGTGAAATGTCCATAAATAAAGATAAATACAGCTGACAGTAGAAAAAAACTTAAAATCTCTTAGAAAATTACAGAAGAGCTTGCTCATCACATAAAAGTAATACTAGGGTTACATGCAGAATAATCTGGACAGATGGAGCACCCAAGGAATAATTCAGAACTGACATGCACAAAGTCAGTTTTAGAGTTAGTACTCTATAATGCCATGTCCTGATAATTACTAACACTACTTTAAAGCTTTGAAGTCTAAGGGCAATGGTAGATTTTGGATTTGTGCAGGTGAGAGCAAAATCCAGCCCACTAACACTAAGTTGCATGAAATTCTTCTTACCAAAGAATGATAGACATTGTGTACTTATGTATGCTTGACACTAAAAACAGAGGTTACTTTAACAATCCTCTGTTAAATGCTAAATAACTTTTTTTTTTCCCTATAGTGTTGCAAAAAAAAAGAGTAAAGTGAGAGTGGGAGTTCAGTGAATACTTTGTCTGGAAATGACATTATAAAAAAGTGACAATTTAAATCAGTCCGCGTGTTACTAGTAAAACTGGACTTGAACCTGAGCTCTTCAGCTTCACGTGATTTAAAATACAGATTGAAGTTACATTGAGAAGTAAGACTCCTGAATGTTGATTGTAGAAAGTTACATATTTTCCTTCCTTTGAGGAGTCAGAAATGGAAAGATGGCAATGATTTTAACTGTCTACTTGATAGTCAATCACTACCTCTGAATTTGTCATATTTATCTAAGGATGAAATTTTAGGGAGGTCATTGCTCCAATATTTAAAAACCCTAATAAGAATGGAAGTTCATAAGGGACTTAATATTGTAAAGCCAACAAACCCTTATTCCCTAAGCAGAACCCAAATAATGTTAGTTAATGCAACTTGAGATTTGGAGGCTCAGACCTCATACCAGATTCATATAAAGCAGGCTCCACTTTATAACAATATTCCTTGAAGATTGTTTTCATAAATAAGTATTACAGTACCTAATCTTCTGCAAAAATTAAAGGATTGAAGTTCAAAATGTACTTTTGCTCCAATAACCATAATAGCAAAAATACACGTTCCCAGAGGTTACTAGAACCTGTTGCTTTTCCAAACCACGTACTGCATTTTAGTAATGAACTACTACACTGTTAAAAGATAACAGTGACAGGACACTGAAGAAAAACTAACTATTTTTTTTAAACACAACTGGAACTTATTTATTGCATGCCACTTACATTACTGCTATTTTTTAATGCATAAAAATATCAAGTTCATTAAATGTCAGCTATTAAAACAAATCACTGAACAGTATTTGTTAATTTAGGACTGTGTTTAATTTGAAATAGAAAACATGCTTTTAAAATAAATTATTCACTAATAGGAACCCAGTATCGTGAAATCAAAGCAAAAATCAAGTTTTGTACATTTTTAATACTGTACATATATTATATATTGTTTTTTTATATTTTAGATATTCATTTCTAGATTGAAACCAATAGATTGTTTCCTTGATAAACTGAAACTTTAAAAGCCAATATACCAGTGAAAGCAATTTGCAGTAATTAAAAAGAGACAAGTGAATACAACATATGTACAGATCTGTGGAATTCAAACTATAAGCTACATACATTAAACCAAACTGTCCCTGTATATTTAACTACAGATCAATTTTGGCAATGTGGAGGTATATCTTTTATCCTGTTGCAAGTCCTAACATGTAAGTAGGAAGCTTCAATATTTGCATTCTTCATGAAAGTAGCAAACGTTAACCAAAGAGCAACTGGATTTTCAAAAAAAAATTTGTATGACAACAAACAAGTAGTACAGTGAAGTTAGTAAGTATTTTTAATAGCATTCACATTTTTTAAAAAAGTCTCTGAACTGGACCTGTACATCACTTTTATTGACAGAACATAAATATAAGAAAAAGATCCCTAAAAAGACCAGAATTTTTCCCAAACATAAAGTGCTAAAGATGTGTACGGTAGTAAGAAGTTTTTTGTTTTCCTCTTTCTTTTTTCCTTGATTGAGCAAAGAAAGATTAACAAAAAGGTTAACCACGAATTCAATTGAAATATTTTAAAAATACCATGTGTTCTTGAGCTTCAGCATTCAAATGTTTTAGAAGATTCAGGCTGCTCTTCTAAATTCACTTGCAGTTCATTTTGACATTCTGGCGTCTCACCTTTGACAGCTAAATGGATAACTTTTAGCCATTTCTGTTTTAGTTCCTCATTGTCCGCAGCAAAGCTGTGCACAGACTTAGACTGGGTCAGTTTGAAGCTGTGTGGGAGGTCAGCACTTCTTGGAGTGTCATCTACTGCATAGCCCAGAAGTGGAATGGTAGCCAGAGCTTTAACGTCCTAAGAAGAAGGAGAAGTTCTTGATGAAGAACCGCCAACTAATCTGCCCGTTACCTCTCGTTCACTACACAGGTTGGTACAATCACTTGAGTCTTTCCTCCATTCCCAAGCTATTTCACTTCTCTTCCTCAGATGTCAGTGACAATAATTACTAAAATCTTTTCCATTTTCTCCGTACATACCTGTGGAGCACCATACATGTACAGCACAAGAGCTTCCTGTTTAGGTATAACACACCATGCTTTCTGCCAGGGCTTTGATTTTTCCATGTACTGAAGAAAGCTACATATTACGCTATTTCCAGAGACTTCTGCAGATTCAATCTAGGAGACAGTATAAAGCAGAAAAAGAAAAATAAACTTTCTTAAATAGAGACTGTAAACACAGAGAACAGAAAGGCTGAAATACATCACCATTCCTATCAAATCATAGAATCATAGAATCATAGAATGATAGAAAATAAAGATAACGTGCAAAACAGCTTGAGCAAATACCCAAGTTAAGGACTGGATTTGCAGAGAATATTTATGTGATGCATACATACAGTCACAATGTGTACTCCCTCACCACATGTGTAATCTGTTCCTTCTTTCATCAGTAATTTTGGGCTATACATTTCTAGATCACTTTTGTCACCACAGCTAGCTATTCTCCGTATCTTAGTATCTACCACAATATGTTATTTCTAAGATAACATCATGTTAGGCATGCAAGTGCTACTGACTGTCCAATATGACAACGACTCTATTTTGGCAGTCAAAATATTATGACAGGATCAGATGCAAACACATTTCCAAGAACAACATAAGAATACAAGCACTAATCCTAGAGAAAAGATTAGGTGAATTGCTTAAAATCTGAAGACAGAGTGACATGCTACTTGGGTTAAATAGCGACCCTGGGAAGAACAGAAAGAACACAAAAGGATTATGTGCTAATATTTCCCTGCATCCATTTTTTTCCTCCCTCAGCGGCAATACTGTCTGGATGCTGCAACGTAGTACCAAGAACTCCGTTGTCATGAGACCCAGCATGCAGACAAACATTTCTAAGAGACTCTATAGCTCCTTCAGCTACCTCAAAGAAGCCATCCTGCCAAGAAACAGCAATCTCTTGACTATAAGGTAAGATAGTAGTCCTGTGCTCCTTACTCTTCCTCATTTAAAAGAGTGTAGTCAAGCCAATATGGACCATGAACTGTAAATAGAATTACAATCTGTATCTTATTTTTGCCTTCTTTTTCTGTTGTATTTAGCTCAAGGGTCAAGCCTTCTCTACTACATCCCAAGGCAAATATACGTCTTGACAAAGTTAGGATGATATTTTTCTGATGTACATCAGGCATTTTAAAAGGGCCTATAAAGGGGGATTTATGAAATGTGAAGGTTAACTGCAATTGTAGGATGCTCATTTCTCTCCCTGATGTTGTCTGGTTGAAACCTGGAGTTTTTAGATGTCAAAAGCTGAGAGCCACTTGAGGACTTATAGGTACATTGTATACACTGAACAAAACAGTATCTAATTACTCTGAAGACTTTGAATAGCAAAATTCTCCCCCATTCCCCTCTCCTCCATCCCCAGTTCTTTCAGTTTGGGTTTATGTTTTCAAGAATCATTATAGTAGCAGAAGAAAATGGAAGATTTATAAGAAAAGGTAATGTTTTATCATGTTAGCTGATGTAACTGGAAAGAAGCAAACAAGCCAATTTTCATAATTCCCCTCTTTAAAAAAAGTTGCAAGAAACAAAGTAGTATTCTAAAAGATGGATGGTGGAAATCAAAATTTATTGGAGGGGATGAATTTGGTCCACTTACTTTTTATTTCTCAAACAGAAACTGGCCCTGCCAGAATGCTACCGTTTTTCACCTACTGATGAGTCAAAGCTGTTTGCAATTATGCACATATAGTATTTTTAAATTATATACCTCCAAGATCCCTTTCTTCTTCTTTTCTTCACTATCTGTACAACCAATTATAACATGATAGCAGTCCTTACAGACTTTGTTCAATTTATTGCCATCATATTCGAGATGTGCCTTATAATCAGAACATTTCCAGCAAACCACCTTTGAAACAAAAAAGATAAACAAACATGTAATATTTAAGAATCTATAAAACTTTATGGAAACAGAATTTAATTTAAAGTTAATATTACTGTATCTAATGAGCAATATTTTGTTTAACTATACAGAACAAGAAAGATAATTGTTTTATGATGCTATTATGTCAACAGTAACTTAATTGAAAATAATGATTTTTCCAAATTTGTGCCACTGCTTCTTAACTGGAAGTGGTTTTTACTGTTTACCTGGTGGGAATTTTGCACTTTGTATAAAATCAGATTAGGCTTTCAATGACATCTGTAGGTTAAAGTTAGGACTAGAATCAGAACATAGCACAAACCACACTGCAGGAAGAAAATCCTCCAGTTTCCAGTTTCTTTAGATGCCAACCTGAAAAGATACACTTACCATGTTGTTTTCTAAGTTTTACATAACCTCAGAAATGTACAACTGAGATGCACTTTCAAGGATTAAAAAAAAAATAATAAACTCAGAAATGGTTATTTATTTAACTTGAGAAATATTAAATTTACAGTTTCAGAATCTGTTCATGAGTACAAAGAATACATAAGCCAATGTCACACTGTCTTTTGTCTGTTCACAATATATATAGAGAAAACTGAAATGCAAGAAGATTTCTGAGAAGTTCTTTCATTAGAAATATTTTTCCACAGAAATCTTCTTTCAGGGGAAAGAGATGCCCTGCATAAAAAGCGTGAGTGAAGTTATTTCAAGAGAGAAGGGTTGACCAATGGACTTGAACTACTCAAATACCTGAGCAAAATTTTATTTTGGACCAGAGCTCTGCAGTACTAATCTAGATCAGTACCTTCAACTTGTATCTCTAGAGAATACTGGTTAAGTATTCCCAATTAGTCACTGCTGAAGAGACAGTATCACTGACCCAAATTAATCCCCATGAAAAAATGTTTAAAATTAAAGTGGAAGGAGATGTGATAGAACTACAAAAGAGGGAAGTAATTACGAGTCTAAATGAAAGAAAAAAAGGAAGGATGTGTTCTTAACATTAATGGAGGAGTTTTAAGACAGAATGACCTGGAAAAAAATCCAGATGACAACTGTATAATCAATAATTCAGAGCTTCTGAAAAAGTCTCTAGTATCCTGCAAAGCACAAAAGCAGCGTTGTGAATGCAATAAGTGTTCATAGCACATAAAAACATTAGAAATCATACAAGATAACCTGTACAACAAATATTAAACCTGGGCTTGCACTACCATCTGCTGGAGAAAGGCGTAGCTGCTGGACGGCAAGAAAAGAACGCAAAGTGTTTCCTCTTTTGTTAACTTCTGAAAACTCTCAAGACATACCACTATTTCATGGTCACTTTAGAGTGGCATACGTTACCATAGCATCATCCATGGAAAGCAGCAGTAAGACTCTCTCCTCATCCTAACCTTCTCTCCTTCCCTGATGTTTCATGCATGTTTGCACAGTCACACTGAACCCAGCTGGGAACAGTTCCAAGTCAGGCCAGTGAAAAATCACAGGGCTTCATGATCTTCTTGCGAAGAGGAGAGATGAGGCAGCAGAATGGGAAGAGGAGATTGCCAGTGCTGCCAAGGGTAATGCTGGTTTATGCCAGTTTAATATGGTCTTGAAGCTGTTGAGATCAGCGGAGGCCACTCAGAAGTCACAGTGTAGTACAGCCAGGGGCTCGGGACATTTTACACAAACGTACATCTTGCATTGCTCCAAATTTCTTGCGAGTTTACCATGCCAACTAAAGCAGACGGAGGATCCTTTGCGGTACGCTATACGCAGCTTCCCCTTTCAGCCACAAGCACAGCAACAAACTCTGCACCATAACAAGCAGCCACCAGAAGTCAAGTAGGTGCTTAGACCCATTCCCAAGCCTGCTCACCAGCTGCAGCAGCTGGGGTTTTGCACTTACATGTCCACATGCTCGGCAGTGGTGCCTTCTCCTTGTCAGTGCATTGAAGGGCTCCTTGCATTTCATGCACATGGTTACTTCGTTGTCTCGTATCCACCTCGGTGCTCTCTTCCCAAGCTCAGCATTCTGAACAGGGCCAGGAGGAGGATGGGAGATTAAAAAAAGCCAGTATAAAAAGTTGTGCAGTACTTTAAATAGAGAAAGTAATTATTCTCTTCCTCTGGAAAGGAAATGGCAAAACATAGCTCAAGATGCATTTTGAAATCTATACAAGAAATAACAAAGAACCCAGTCAAAAATCATTATGCATCACTGGAAGGGTACTCTGTTATGTGTTTCAAGAAAAAAAGAGGCTTGTTTATAAGACTTGGCATTATGAAGAAAAACAATTACCAACAAGATGACTACTTTGTAATTCCTCTTCTAAAACAATGATAAGCTTGAAAACAAAGTTTCTGCCAAACTTTTTCCAATTATTGAAGAACAAAATGGGTACTAAAAAGGTTACAAAGGAATAACAGCAACTTACAGAAACCTCAACAGGCATGTCTTCATATTCTTTAGCAATAGCATTTCTGAAAGTTTCATTCCTCTGCTGAAAAGCTTCTATAGTATTTTGAAGCGCCTAAGGAAACAGTGGAACAACTCCTGAAACATATTACGTTGAAAAAGGACTCTCTACATTCTGATCAGTTATCAGCAGAGGGAATCTGCAGCTTGAAAATAGGAATATTACTTTTTTGGTTGCTTCAGTGAAAAAGTATTTAGAAAATAAAGAATGTAGATTAATTTACCTTTATCCATTCTTCCTTATCTTGTTCAGAACTGAAAGAAATATTTGACACATTAGTCCAAAACTACTTCAGGAAACATTCTCTCACTATCAACAACTTCTTGCAAAAGCCAAACTTCTAAGGTAATTCTCAGGAATTTAAATTTAAACAATATTAATTGTTAAGTCTCCAACTTAAAAAAACCCTGAAATAACAGAGAAAACAAAAAGATGACTTCAGGTTTCACAAGTTTGCAATCACTAAGGAGTGAATTCAAGTTGAAAGATAAACGTATATGCATTTAAAAGTAGTAATAGTATTTGCATTGTTAGACTGTTTTTGTTTTGGTTTTGGGTTTTTTTTTTTGAGAACAGGATAGAGAGGAAAAGAGGACAAAGTAAAGTTTGGGTATAGGTGTTTTTTTTCTCCTCTCATTTCACACACTACTAAGTTCACATACTAACACACATTTTTCCTATGTATCTCTTAATTTTTCTATGGATTGCTCTGAAAGATATGAAAGAGAGCTTTTACAGCATCTCAATCAAAACAGTTCCTCACATATTTTGCAATATTAGTAAAACTTTTAAGCAAGTTTTTTCCCCTTCCCACCTACCATCTACATATGAGGCAGAAGAAACCTATTTAAACAGTCAAAACAATTCTCCCTACCTGCTTACATCAAAAAAACCAAAAGTTGAGCTATTAAATGTTTTAACAAATTGTCAACCCCTCAAAGAAATAATCTGCTAGCTGTTTAAAACCAGGGATTGAAAATGTACTTAAATAGTATTCTGAAAAATAAATAGAAGCCTGCTAGTAAAGAAACCCCGAAGGATAAACTAAACATTACAACACTGTTAATACAAGCTCATGAATGAAAAACATTAAGGTATAGGGTACATACAATACTCACACTTAAATCAAGATTATTCTAATAGAATTGCATACTATCTTGTTTGGTACTTATCCCTTCACAATTCTGTACAGACTTAATGAATTCTAAAAATGTCCATAAGAGAAAACAAAAAATGAAAACATGTTCTTCTCACACATAAAATAAACTCATGCAATAAACTTCCAATTACTGGTAATACAGGAAAATTAACAAAAACTTACTTTGTTGTAGCATTTCTCTTCCAATTAAAACATACATCACAAATGATACAGCAAGATGCCATCTTTCACCATTGAAATGGGTATATGGCATAACAACTTGCCAAATACTTAGCAAGACATCATACAGCAATTTATAGCAGATGTGACTGATAGCCAAAAATGTGGCCCAGAAATCTTGCAGACCTTAGTGGAAAGCTTTTTCCTGATATTTTTCAAAGTATATATTTAATTTCAAATTCAATGATAGTGTCAGTAAATTTCTATATGCTGTTATCTTTCTATATTCACCGCTGTAACTCTCATTAAATCATACAAGTTTTTTTCCACAAAGGAAAGTGGCTTGCAAGCTCATTTGCTAGCAAGCTATGGTTTGTCCCCAAATACATGGTGGCAACACAGAACTGTATCCACCATGGACATCCTCCTGCGTATTCAATCCTTGCCTCTCTGCAATGAAATCCTGACTGCTAAGACTAGGATCTTTAAGCAGGTCTAAAAGGAGAGATGGAGCACTCTATTTGAGGTGGGGCAGTCTAGACAGGCAAGGTTTAGTCTGGACAATGCAAAAAGCAGAAATGGGAAGGTAACCCAGCAAGAGATGGATACCAGGACTAATAAGGAGAGCAGAAAAGTGCCAGTCAGAAGAGTGCAGCTGGAGGAAAAGGACCCAAGAACTAAAAGGAGAACTTGCCTTCCAGGGTGAGGTTGATACCTGGGACCATAGGAAAATAGGTAGACTGGAAATAGGCCTGAGGAATGGAGGAAAGCAGGTGCCCATCTACCACTGTAGACAACTATGTTCTGTGGAGATAAACCCACCAGGGTGGAGAGTTTTGTTGCGTGGACATGCCCTGAGGTGAACACGCCCATTTGTACCAAGGTGGCTCAGGTACCAGAGGCAGCAGCATAGCCTAGAGATTAACACAGTGTCCCAAAACACTTAAGTCAGACAGATTGCCTTTGCATCAGTTGGGTATGTTGCTTTCAATTTTCCAGCCAGCCCATTCACAGCTACCTTGAGTATTTCTGCAAAGTAAGGCAATGCACTATATGTTGAGATGCATTTTCTACTCCAAGAGATTCTTGGACTGACAATTTATGATTTTTGGCATCCTAGGCTATTTTCAAAATACTGATATTAAGATGAAGCCCACTGCATCTTTCTCCAAATCTGTTAGTCCATTCTTCTGTGTGTATATATTTAATCCTCCAAAAAGGAGATAAAAAGACTGCTTACCTGGCCTGCAACTCCAGTGTTCGCTCTTTTCCGGACACTTGAAAAGTGTGTGGATATTCTTCATTATGAGTTTCTATAATCTTCATACCATCTATGCCGACTCTGGTTCGAACCGAGAACTTTGATCCTACCAGGCTGAATTTGGGGACGCAGTAGAGCAACATATTGTTAAACTGGAGAAAAAATAAAGACGTGGCTTTGCCTTAACAAAAACACAGATACAGCCGCAGTTTCTACTGAGAGCTGGACAATATTGCAAAGCTAGACCTAGTGGGTGAGAAAGCAGGTTCTTTCCTCCTCACCTGATATAGAAGACCAAAGCTCTAATGTAAGACAATTTTTTCTTGTTAGAAATAACATTAAAGGACAGCTTCAGTGGATATAAGAATAATTGCTCTGCATATGCAGTAGGCTTCATAGCATTTATTATCAACTATTCTCAGACTTGGTATTTTATACCTCTGTAAACCTTTTGTTAAAAAAACCCATTCTTATGCCCCAATTCTGCAAAACCTACTCTAAACTGCAGAATAAGAACTCTTTTATTTAGTGTATACGTTTATGTTTGCCCTATACCAAAATCATTTGGTTTTGTAGAAGTTGTAACTAACATTATTTGAAGACATTGTTTGACTTTTCTCCAAGACAGAAGAACATTTCTTAGAGTTTTATTCACTGAAACCCTCAATATCACAGGAAAAAAAAAACGTACATGAGCAGGACAAAGATATATTCATTTATTAAAGATTAGAACTTTAAATAACATTTAAAAATCTAAAGCTCCAGCCTAGAAGCACAGTTATTAATTCTGATTGATAGTGTTTAATTTCCTCACATTTTTCTCAAAATTAATTATTAAAAAGGGAAACTTACTTCGGTTAAATCCTATTTCATAGAAATCCTGCCTAGCCTATTGCCTGGTCTGCATCACAGATACAGCACATTTGAACTTGTCACCTCTCACATGAAGTGCACTTCATTTTAATCAGCTGTTTAGCCCCACGTGAGGTCTTACTATTCAATGATTTCTCCTTTTGTTTGAAGCACCGATAAGCAGGAGTTGTGCCTCAACAACCTGTTACTGGTCTTTATTAACCAGAAGATGTGCAATGCCAGAGGCCTGTAAGCAAAAACGTATTAGCAATTTTTAATGCATGGGAAGCAATGAACTACATCAAACCTTTTCCAAGGCAGTTGTAAGGGAGCATGGCTGTAGCTTGTTATTTCTAAGACAGGACACAGGCACCTGAGAGGTGGATGACCTGCCATGATAACAAGCTTCCACAGGACCATGAGACTTACTAGGACTCCAACACAGGACTAAAATCCCAAGCTTTACATTTTAGTTTCATGAGAATGTCAAAAGTTCTCATGCTCTAGGACTTGCATTTATAATCAGCAATCACTTGTTTAAAACTGAGTTGCTGGACACTGGTTCCATTTATTTAAAACCATATATCCTTTTCTAAATGGCATTTCCAAGGGCAGTATAGGGTTTACTCATGCTCTAACATCACGAGTGGAAAGGTATTGACACCAACTAGAGAGGATTTCCCTCTCTGGTAGTTCTTTCAAGTCTAGAAAGGTATACAGCCACTCCTACAAACACCGGCCACCATACTTACTAGGAAAAGATACCGTTCTTGAGCAGATGTATTGCGAGCAGCAAGTTTAAGGATCTGTCCTTCTTTTATCAGTTCATTTGAAGGGTTCACAATGTCTTCCTCTTCTCCCAACATTTCATATATCTCTAACAATTTCTTTAAATTCTCCTTTATAGTGAAAACACAGTTGTAAAACTTATTAATTAAAAGCATAGATCTTTAAGCGTGTTTAAATGAAATGATGGCAGCTTGTGTAAGTCTGGAGAAGGTCAGCTTTGAAAAACATATACATACCCCATATGTATGGCCAGCCATACAGATTGATTAACGTAGTTGACACAGTAACAAGTACTTTTAGAAATGTTATCTACATCGTAATTAAAAAAATGCAGTTATACATACAAACTGCATTATTTTTGGTTGAAAATATCTCACATACTTAAGGAAGTACCTGTGATGCCAGCCCAATTTGATAAACAGTAACTACTCTTAACAAACAGTATTCTTCCACTAACAGAAATAAATAAAACAAGGTTAAAAGTCCAGTGTAGTGTCAGCTATTTGAGCAAGGAGAGGAACCTAGTTTGTCCCATTTTCCACTTGAGAGAATTGGGTGCAATGCCAAATTTTGTCTATCGTTCCCAGGAGCTGTATAAATAAATTCAGTAGGAGAAATCACCTGGACCCAGGAAACTCATTTTTGCCATTTTAGGAAAGATTTGCAATTCACACTCCTAGCTTCACCAAATACTCAAATAGAATATATTTAGAAACGGACAAGGAAACAAGGATAATTTACCATTTTTCTTATTGCACTATTAGAGTGACTTGCTGCAGTGGATATAATTTCCAGGGATTCTAGACAGAAGAAAAAGAAAAAAGTAAAACCAAAACCTGCATTTTTATGTATTTGTATATTACATAGAAAAAAAAAAAAGGATCATTTTACAAAATTATGTTTGTGTCATTTTTATGTAAATTACACACTACAATAAATTTCTTAAATTATCAATAAAAACTAACCAAGGTAAAGTGTACAGCATAAGAAAGTCAGCTAGCAAAAGAAATTATAATCTGGAAAGATCAGAAGAGAATTGCTGCAGATTACTTTAGAGCTTCAGCACTTTGAATCACATTTTTTGTGACACGAACAGTCATGGTTCTCTCTGCTCTGTTCTCAAAGTAGTCTAAAATGTCACACTGTTTTTTAGTTGAAACAGCTCACATAACAGATATTTACAGTAATGGCACTAACAATGAAATATTTCAGAAAATTGTCTGGCAAGTAATTTTGAACAATTCATGGAAATAGCTTGAACTGTTCTTGTGTGAATAGAGAGGAATCCATTTTAAAATGGGTTATTCTTTTTCCCTGCAGGAGCTTAAAAATACAATAACTCTATTTTTTTTATAAGTAAGAGACATATGTTCCAAATGTGCATAAAGCAAACAAAAATGCTGACCAAAAAAAAGACAGAAAAGCCACCACAATTCCTGAACATCCGCAAAGCAAATGAATCAAGACCTGTGCGATGTTCCAAAACTAAAGCAAAAGTTCTGTACTTCAGGAGAATACTAGAGGCTTTATAGTTTTTATATTAAGTTCATCTACTACTGAAACAGATTTTTTTCAAAGAATCTTACAAGTCCACTGAAAAAATTCTATCATTCTTTTCAGAGAGATTTTGCTTTTTCATTTTAGTTTTCCTGAAATTATCTTTAATTAACAGTATCCTCTTACTAATATTACAGCTCTTTTAATGGCTAGAAGATATTTACTTTCAGCATCTTTCCAGTCTAGAGAATCCTGAGGCAATTTCCTTAGGTAATCCTTTAGAAGCATCTCGTAGCGTGGAATGCGTTGTACTGGTTCTAGCATGTGATGTTGCAATGTCAAATTTCCACACACTTTTTCCTTCTAAAAAATTGCAAACATATTTCAATGTAGGAGGCAAAAATGTTATTAGGATATAGTAAAATGAAAGCTATGATTGATAAAACATAAATAATGTATTTGAAACATGCATGAGAGACCTTCTGAAACAAAACAGAACTACTTTACTGAACCAAATAATTAGAAAATCTTTCCTAAAAGTAGTTGTAAAAAGTTTTCTAAGTATCCAGTAGAATGCACATATAAAAGTGCTACCAAAAAAAATCCTCCCAAACTCCACTGTAATTTAACTTAGTTTTGTAATAACTCAGACAAAAGAATTACAACTAAACTAATAAGAACAGTTCATGACCACGTATTAGAAAGCACTTCTTAAAAATATACCTTTATAGCCCATTTATCTACCTGAGCAGGGAGTGCTTTCTTTGAGTTTCATTCATAACATAACCCCCCTCAGAAGTGCTTTAAGATGCATATTCACTTCGATAATCTTAGATGTAATTAAAAGATTACATTAAAATACACGTAGTTGTCTTCCCCGGCTTAGAATCACAAGACCCTACAGAGCAGTAAAATTTACACAGAAATACCTTATCCTGGTTCTAGCTGCTCAGTGCCAATTCACAGAGAAACCTACAGGGAGCACTAGAGGGTATAAAACGCACCTTTGAAAAGAACGGTGTGTGGCTCAGCTGTTAAGCTTCCCTTACCTTTTGGGGCTCAGCATTTAGGATTATATACTTGCCTCCAAAGTGTAGTGCTCTGCATAACAGCCCTGGTGTGAGCCAACAGAGTACTTACAGATTCGGTGCAAGAATCTATAGCTGCACTGATACGTTACTTTATCCTAAAACAGTATTTACTTTTAATACCTACAACAAAACGGAGTATATTTTATTCTTCTCATGTTACAGCCCTTCTACTTTAGTCCTCTACGTTGCACTGGAAAGGCTGGATTTGCATGGGTATTTGTGCGGGTATTTGTGCATGTGTGAAGGGAGAAGAAGAAACAGGATGCGGTGTGAAGCGGACAAAAACGACAACTTTTAATTCTAAAGGAGTTAGCATTTAATTTTCTCTTTAATTCTTTTTTCACCCACAAACCTATATATTTTTATGTATGAATTACTTGGAGATCTACCTTATTCTCCCCATTACCTGAATATCTTGAATAATGAATTTGAATTGGGGTGACCGTTCAGTCCATGTTTTCACCAACTCCATTGCATTATCAAAATTCTTCACATACTCTCCATACATCTTGAGGAAAGGAGCTAACTTTTGCAGAATATCTCCAATTCGGGGCGTGGTAGTCCTGCAAAGTAAGAGGGTGGAATCTCAGGGCAAACAGGAAAGAAACGAAGTCACACAAGGTTATAAAACAGTTCTAAGCGTTTAACAGAAAATCCCTCCATTTGGGATCGCCTCTTATAGAGTTCCAATGTAACCATTCAAAACTGACTTGAGTTAACACAGAAAGATTGTTTGCATCCTCTTTGATCGTGTATAAACATGATAGGTCAGGTAGAGCACTAAAGAAAGAACAGCTAATCATAACGAAGCACTTGAAAGGCGTTGTTTACAAAGCATGGCCTAAATTATTTTATTTGTAATTCCTTAAAACTGCATTATCGTCTTTTGACCATACTTGACCTTCTACATATCTAACCTGTGGTTTTGTTTGAGGACTAAATCCATACTGTACAGCTTCCCTTCTGTGCCTTCTACAAATACATGTATTTACAACTTTTAAAATCATAATTTATCTAAGAAAACCTAGGAGGTAGAGAGAATCCCTTGGATTTTGATCTTTTGTGAGAATTTTGCCACATCTTTCCCAATTATTGATAGCATCTTCAAATAAAACAGAATAGTAAAGAAACCGATGGAGAAGCAGAGAAAAGCCACACTCTTGATGCACACAAGGAAAGTGGAACGGCACATGTGCATCCCCCGGAACTACAATACGAAACGCGTTTCACATTTCGTTTTCAAGGACAGATTGAGAAACTCAGTATCTCTGGATTTCTGAAAGTCTGAAATCAATGTTGGGGTTGTGGTATAAAGTGAAGCAAATCTACTGCAATTACTTCAGCAGTCTACTCCAACACACCACTTCTCCAAGAGAAAAGCTGTGCAGAAGGAAGAAGTTATTTGAATAGTGAACATTGCAAGAACTGGCAAAGGCTGGTACAGCTTGGGGGCAAGATGTTACCTATGTATGACCTGACAGAGGTCTGAGCTACTACTGGGCCTGGCAACTAGAGAAGGGGACAAGATAGGGTGGGAAGTTGGCCTCCAAAATCAAGGCTCCCCACCCTTAATTAACTTCATATATTTGTTCAATCGCTCTACATGAAGCAGGTACGTACATTTTCAAAAGCAAAAAACAGAAACCCACTCCTTTCATTCACTAAACCCACTCCTTTCATTCACTGAATGCTATTTCCCTGGGTTGTCATTTTATTGCAACGTAACAGCTCAATTTTTAACTGAAAATAAAATACAGATCATGTCAATTCCAACAGAACAGAAGGAAACGTGAATATATTTCTAAAGGTCACTAGAAAAAAAATCCCACAGACATTAACATTTTCTGATAAATGTAACAGATAAGTAATTATAAAACTTTACAATTAAAAAAAAACTTCAAGCAGAAAGGACTGTGGCAATCCTTTTTATCTAAAGAAAGTGGCACAAAAAAAATACTTCTACTTAACTGTTTCACAACTATTACTAGACAAACATTAAAAGAAAACATCAAAATTCTTATAAACCAAGTGGGAATAGTTTGCTATGCCTGCTTCTTGGATACCTATGGCTGCTCATTTACACAGAGCCCTGTGATTTCACTGTCTCCGAAGATTCAAAAATTTAATAACTATTTTTCATGCAAGGCCCTTATATGTCCAAAGACTCTGAGGCTGTAAAAACACAAATTCATCGTTTCAGTTAAGAATCATAGAATGGTTAGGGTTGGAAAGGACCTAAAATATCATCTAGTTCCAACTCCCTTGCCATGGGCAGGGACACCTTCCACTAGATCAGGTTGCTCAAAGCCTCATCCAACCTGGCCTTGAAAACTTCCAGGGATAAAGACAGACAAGGTCCATATCATACAAAGAGCTCTGGAAGAATAGGAAGGACAGAGAAGTCTTAGAAAGTAGAAGCTTTTGAGAGCAGCATCCTCCCTTGATGGACTTGGAAGTGTAGGCAACTAGTTCATCTCATATTCAAACCTTACATGCCATGAGCCAAAAATATTAAATTCTAATAAATTCCACCAGGTCCAGAACAGTTACTATTCTCTTGGATAGACAGATCAGAAAAAGAACTATTACCATGGACCCAAATCAGCACTGCACTGCTACCAGACAACAAGGATAGCACCATTATGCAGGTCAAGAAATAGTACTTCATGTTGTAATGTAGGTACAGAAACACTTGGTATTTCTGTGCTATCAGACCACAACTGTATTCACATTTGCATTATAAAAACTCAAACATGAAATAACTGACTTACTAGTCACGATTTGTAGCATGTCATTTAAAATTGTCATGGCTGCAAGAAAACTAAGGAAAGGTGTGTAAAATCACAGCACAACAAAGGTGACTACTGAGCAACTGCGTTCTCTTCCAATATACAAGGTAACAGGCATCCAACAAAATTGAAAGTTGCAGTTTCAAAGCAAAATAAATCATATGAGTAGGTCAGCTCTGTAATCGTCACAGATTCCAAAACTTTACATTGAAGGAGTGAAATAATTTCTTCACCATCCCTGCCCCTAGAGGCTATCACACTGTGTTCTTATATTCTTCCCCAGGTATCTGCTATCGGTCATGCTCGGGTACGAAAGACAGAGTTAGGTAAACATTTTGTTTGATGTGGGACCACTGTTAAGCTCTGTTATGTTCTTTTCATTGGAAATATATTGCAACAAGGCTGTTTCCAGTGTTTTCAGGCCATATGTTGTAGAAGAGATATTCTGCTCCAGCTGTTGCTCAACTCTTTCAAAATGCAACTACCAGAAAATTTCGTTTCCACCTGACAGTCTTAGGTCTACACTGCCTTTTTTTCTAAGAAAGGAGAATCTGCTTCTGATCTGCTTTCCCAGTTGCAAAACTATATACTTTTACCTTACGTTTTCGAAACAAACCACAACTCAGGGAAAGTGTCAGAATTTTTTATCCAGCTATTTTTATTGGAAGCTAAAGAACAATAGAAGTGCATAAACCTACCATTAGAACATACTTAAGTATTTTCTATGTCTAATTAGGAGAACTGCTGAGGAAAGTGAAATCTGTATCTGGCAGAAGCTGTTGTGCCAGACTGTTCTGGAGGCTGGTGATGGGGAGGTAAAGTTTTCTCAGATTATTCTTTCAGCAATGATCAGAAATAGTTCTCTTCAATTGCACCCCTTCTTCTTTTAACTCCTCCCAAAAGCATAATGTTTTAAGGACATTTAAACAGGCCGTCCCAGGTACAGCACAGAGGTTGTTTTCAAGCAAGGTGGGAAAGATAGCGTCTTTATGGTGCAGTTTATTAGTTTTACACCAATAGTCAAAGCTCATCTGCAAAAGCACTTTTCAACCTTTGAAGCTATATAATCGTGTACACGATATTAGTGAGCAATCTACTATTTTGCAGATATGTAAGGTAATGCAACCCCTCTTCTTTGGTCCATAAAGTTTCTAGAGCAAAATTTTAAGAGTACGACACAAATTTAATTTCAAATATATACGGCACTGACAAAACGTAGTGTAAGCTGCTTTTTAAACACCATTACAATAAGTTAAACTCCACTTCTCATGAATATGTACCCTATTTTAAACCAGGCATATTTCCTATCAGATTTTTTCAATTGATTAGAAGAAAAGAGTAAGTTTACCTTACACAGTCATTCTGGAAGGAATGTAAGTTAAGATGTAAGCTTTCCTATATTTCATGATGCTTACATCTTATTTACTTTCTTTCATTATAGACATACAGGACTACCATGTGTTTGTGCATGGTAACAATTCTATTTTAAAGAATTATCATTTTAAAGGGTAGTCATCTTACATAGTCAGGAGATATTCTGTGTCTAAAGCACCACTGTGTCGTCTGAGATTTTCATATACGTCACAAAAATACATTATTTCTCAATTTTTAGTGTGATTTTTGACAACTAAGGAGTTATATGAAAGTGTAACTGGAAATGATATATGGACAAACACTTGAATTCCGCATAATAAACACTAGAGAATAAGCAAAATGAGTCACACAGGTGCTGAGGTGAAACAACTGGATGAAACAACATTTGTTATTTTTCAAAATTTTTTTTTAGATCTGGTGACCCCTTTTCCAAAATAAGGTAGGGACGCAGCAATTGTTTGAGACCTTTTTTTTTTTTTGACAATTACATAATATAGACCAAAAATCCATGTCTATATTTTACTATCTCCAGAATCACATACAACAAGGCAGGATAAAGATACTACAGTATCTTTACATGATCATTACAGAGTATATTTACACATCAACTATTCCTTCTTGCTTGCTCCAGATAGAGGTCAAGAAAAGCTGTGGGAAAAATGGCCCCAAAATATACCTGACATGGATTTTTTTTTTCAAATAGCAAACCAAAACACAGAGAAACAAGAATGTATCCCACCTTATTACAGAAAACAATAACGACAAAGGTTACTGTGCTACAAGGGTAGCACAAAACACACGTATGTTATTTATGTTTTATATTCTATGCAATGAATTCACCAGGTAGCACATAATTTCCATCTGAAGCCCTAATTCAGAGAGGCACTTAATCATGAGTAATCTCACTGGCTTCAGCAAGATACATGTCCTTTATTTTGAACAGATGACGCAAGTCCTCTATTGAGTCAGATCCCAATGAAGAGTGGAAGAGCAGATGTTCTCCTACCCACAGTATTTCCTGGGCCTGGAGCACTTCAGTTATGACAGTACCTACCCTACCTCAAACCTGTGACAGAGCTTCTACAAACACGGTTTTAGTAATATATCAACCAGTCAATCGCTTCTTACCATTCTTGCATTCTTTTCTCAAGTTCTGGAAGTAAGAATTTACTGTGGAAGGCATTTATCGATGAAATATTAGAAAATATTTTGTTAATCACTTCAGCTGGAAATGAACCTCTGTTGGCTTCCTCAAGGAGTCTGGAATAGAATACCTGCAATACAGAAAAAGAACCCCAAACTTATCACCTATTATCTTTACTCAATGGATGAAGACCTACCTACCCCTCCTTCTCCAACTGGGGCAAGATTAATGTTTCAGTAATATGGACAGGTAATGACAAACTCATTTATTGTCTTTCCCTCACCAGAAGTTAAATGCTTCTCCTCCCCTTACACCCCACTTTTTTTCTTGTGAGCCAGGAAAACACCGCAGGCAGAGCAGACATAAGGAAAGCCAAGCTGAAGTAGTGCCATTTTGGATCGTCTCCAGGCATCCTGTCTGTTTTAACAGCTAGATCATCTCAGCTTTCCCAGTCTTCCAGTCATATTTTCCACTCTTGCCTCCTTTTCAATTAACATGAAGTCTGATCACCATGAGCCCAACCACTGTCTCTATATGCTGTATCCCCTTATCCTTTTGAAATCAAAGTAGTTGGCAGAGTATGAATGATCCATGCATACCGTTTAAAGCATAAAAGGATCCCAGTTCTGACTGGACTCTACTATATTAAAAAATTATATTATTTCCCCATCAGTGGGCTTTACTTGACTAGAGGCAGCTACAAAATGAGTGCAGCTGTTAATGTGCACATCACATAAAACAGTGCTTATGAGGAGTTATGGTCTCCCTCTCTCTCTCTCTCCCATCCTTGAACAGACTGCTTCTCCCTAGAAAGGGCTCCAGAAGTTTGGGAAAGAGAAAAAAAAACAAACCCAAAACCCAGAGCCTGAAGACAGGAACTTGAGTAATCCCAACTGATATAGCACCAGTGTCTTAAAAGGGAAAAAAACGTATGCTTTCACCTATACGTTAAAACATGCTCATTTTCCTGCATCTCTGAGAAGACAGTTAGTTAATTTTGACAAACTACTTTGAAAAATTATGCTGGTTTTGGCTAGGATAGAGTTAATTTTCTTCACAGTAGCTAGTATGGGACTATGTTTTGGATTTGTGCTGGAAACAGCCTTGATAACACAGGGATGTTTTCGTTACTGCTGAGCAGTGCTTACACAATGTCAAGGCCATTGCTGCTCCTCACCTCATCCCACCAGCGAGAAGGCTAGAGGTGCACAAGCAGCTGGGAGGGGACACAGCTGGGACAGCTGACCCCAACTGACCAAAGGGATATTCCATACCATATGACGTCATGCTCAGGATATAAAGTTGGGGGAAGAAGAAGGAAGGGAGGATGTTTGGAGCGATAGCATTTGTTTTCCCAAGTAACTGTTATGTGTGATGGAGCCCTGCTTTCCTGGAGATGGCTGAACACCTGCCTGCTGATGGGAAGCAGTGAATTAATTCCTTGTTTTGCTTTGCTTGAATGTGAAGCTTTTGCTTTACCCATTAAACTGTCATTATCTCAAGCCACAAGTTTTCTCACTTTTACCTTTCCGATTCTCTCCCTCATCTCACCAGAGGGAAGAGAGCGGCTGTGTGGGGCTTAGTTGCTGTCTGGGGTTAAACCATGACAAGACTATAAAGGTTATATAACTTTTTAATCCAGTTTAGAAACATAACAGTTTTCTGCTTTCCTCTCATTAACTGCAGTTGAGCAGCTGTGCTTGAAATTGATTTTTCAGAACTCTGTCCAGTTCATATTTGGAAAAGAGTCATAGGAGTAATGCACTTATGATCAAATCAAGGAAAATAATTGTACATTACTCATCAGAAAAACCTATGAACGAAGTAAACATTTTCCTTTTTTTTTTTTAACTTCTCTATGTGAAAAGGGTTTTTTTGATAGTTTTTTGTTTTGTTTTGTTCAGTTTTTTATTTTTCTCCCCAAATACTTTGTCTTATAAAACACACCATATATCCATCCCAGTGTGGGTCTGCTAGGAAATCCACTTTCATGAGGACAACTACTTAGATCCCCAAAAAGCCTGAACAATTATTGTATCAGCGGAGACTTTTTACTTTTCGTCAACTCTGTGTACAAGACTTATGCATTAGGCCTGAGAAATTTAAACAGCACTGTCTGAGAAAAATATCATGAAGTAAGACAAAGCATAGCTTCAGGTATCCAGGTAAAATTGGTTTAGGTATAATGTGAGAAAGTAAACAAGGTTTTAAAAGGAAAATACTCAAGAACTACAGACCTCCGCATTTAAGAAATATCAGTTTGATTCTACAGAGCACAAGAATTCAACCCTTTCCTTGCAAGAAGGTTAATTTCTGTTCTCTTCAACAGGACTTAGTCTAACTGTATAGTGGCAAAATAGGGCATGTAGAGTTTAGAACGAGCTTCTTCCTAGGCTCTTTGACACTAAAGAAAAATTCTTTTCGGGTGGCTCAAATCTGAAAGATTTAGTAATTTTCTAGTGGGCAGGCAATTTCAGTATCATAAAATGATATCCTTCTGGTCCACGTTACCAGAAGCCAAGAAATGAATGAGCATAATGTTATCCATCCCCTTTGTTGGAAGGGCTACCAGTATGAGGTTTGCACTACTGTTGCTTATGGTGACATCTACACACATAGAACCTATTGCGTTAATAGCCACAAAATTTTAATACTTAAAAAAAATGTAGTGTTTTTAAAATAGAAACATAGGCAAAGTCATACGGCAAGAGCAAATGACTGACTGGAAAAGTGTCATCTCTTATCTAATGTATATACATATTTATGCCTAGCTGTTCAAGTGAATTCAAGGCAAGACAACAAAAACAAATTCAAGAAAAACGTACCCCATCTAGGAGGTCAAGTCGGCTAACGTAGGCTTTTTCTGTTTGCAGAAGTTCACTGGCAATTTTGTGACGTTTCTCTTCATCTGTCTCCTGAAGGAAAAGAAGAAGAGCTCTTACAATACTAAAGGAAACATAATTTAGTATTAAAAAGAAAGCTGAAAAGACATATGATTATCTTACAGTCCAAAACATAGCTGAAATCCAAGCTTCAAATTAGTAGTAGACACTCCATTTTGAAAAATACAAACTTTCCAGCAGTTTAATCAACAAATACAAAAGTCAGATGAGGATAAAAATCAGACTGCTGAGTAAAACTCGAAGCCTAAAACATTTAATATTTTGCAGTTTGTACAGGGATCTTTGCCAGAGCACCAACTCCTTACTTCACAGATCAGCTCACATCCTGGTAATCGAGTACCACTGACCTTTCAGAGCTGGAAGAACTGATTTGCAGAGTAAGAGGGAACAGATGGGATTAGTTGGTGTTCGCCTCCGCCTCCGTTTCAAAAGTTATTTGAACTGCATGTTCTTTCCACAAGAGAATTATTGAAAAATACTGTACAAAATGTTTTATATTCATCAATACACTCATTGCTGATTAATTGTTGACTGCAATTAGAGGACTTCTTCTGCAGATCTTTATAGAAGTCACTTTTGCATCTTAAGGGAGGTTTTTGCTTTAAAGTTTTTCATTCCACAAAATGTATTTTTGATTCTTCTGCTGAACAGAAACTCAAAATGTTCATTCAAATTTCGGTATTAAACTAAATACGTTAGAATATCAAATTATGAGTTGCTATGAGAAGTTACTTCGAAACAAACAATGAAAGCACAGCCTTTTGAAATATTAAAACATTAGGGAAATGCCTTATGCTCACAAGTGTCAGATTCAACAAAATGACACTTCCATTACAAGATTTTTCTTCCAGATTTAGTGCTAGTGCTGAAAAAAATGTTCACATCTAACGACATCTAAGTGTTTCCTAAGCAAACAGCAGTCTTATCACAGTGCTTATGAGAAAGTGGTAATTTTCTAGACAAACCATAGAAAGCCTTCATAAAAAATAAAGGAGGAGAGCTTGAAAGTTATTTCTGATTTCAAACTGCACACTGATTTCCACAAGAGTACGATAAACATTTGCAAGTACATTTATAAAGATGGTTTGCAGAATACTGAACACTAAAGTACAATCTTTTCATTTAAAGGACTTCAGTGGCTTTTTTTTTTCCTTTTCAGTATTCAATAAGTATTCCAAATTTGAACACATTTCAATTCTTATCTGCAGTGTCAACAGTCACACTGCTACATGGCAAGCCTCCTCTCTAAATACAGGCTTTCAATAGAGACTTCAAAGCTCTTCATTAAATCTGTTTAAATCAGCATAGCAACCACAGTAACCTACAGAACAGCATTTTAAGTGCTGTCAAGAGACATTGCAGGGAGCTGGAGGATTAGCTATTACAGCTACAACATGCCTTCAGTGCATCCATTTACAAGGAATCTCACACGTGGACCTGAGGCACAAAACTATGGAGGCTACTGGTTCCTCAGCAATTTTATTTTACTTTTTTTTTCTCTCCCCAAAACCCCATTTACTCCCTGAAGCACTGCTATAGAACCAATCTGCAGTTTTCAGAAGATTACTTGGACTAATTAAAAAAGGGAAGACCACACATAGCAGACTCAAAAATATCACACGAAATGAGCAATTCCGAAAAAGCATTTAATCCTCACGCCTCAGTAAGGGCAAATCCCTCTTACTCTCCCACTGTACTCTGACCCCAGCTTTCCCATCCTCTCAGTATCAACCTTACACATCTTCCTGACTCGTGAACCTCAGTCTCCTTTCAACACCAATCACACTACCCATCTCGGGATTTTTTTATGTGGGAAAAAACACACAGCACAGATGAGTTATCTTTTCACCATAGCGGCATGTTCTTATTGCAGTGTTAAGAACACTCACCTACAGGATGAGACCAGTGCAAGAACAGAATTGCATTGCTAGTTTTCTTTAAGAGAAGTCCTCAGTTTCCCACCTCACCATCTCAATATCTGTCCATGTCACATGAACTCCCTGCTGTGTTTACTACTAGCTCCATCCTCATCACCTCTCATTCTCCCACTTCAATGTCTTATCTGGTATCGATCCAAAGAAAAGCACCTGGTTTCCACAAGGTCACACCAGCTTCCCTCCTGTTGGAAACAACAGGTCGCAAGCTATTTTGGTAGTCGTGACATCTGTCTCATGAGGAGCTTTTCTTGATGGAATTGGCAGCCACTTGTCCTGAGCACATGAGGTGAACTGGGACCAGATGCATGGGTGGATACATGGGTTCTGGCAGCACCATGCTAGATGGCAAGGCATGTTTGGTGGAAAGACTCACCACTGCATGAATCCAGTGTTGCAACTGGCATCTATGTGTATATATATATTTATTTCCTGTCTTCAGGGAATTCATTTGTAGCCATCTCAGCTCTGCCGTGGCACACACCATGCTGCGCTGCACCTCTACCCCCAGCTGCACACTCACCCTTCCCCGGAGCAGGCATGCAGGGAGCAGCCAAGCTATGGGCTCAGGGCAGGCAGACCCCAACAAGGGGCTGAGCTTCCAAAGACTAGATTTTGGCTATTCCAAGTAGCAGGAAGCAACTTGTACAACACAATTTGGAAATAAATCCTGAATAAAGTTTTGTGACAGTAAGAATGACACAAAGCCATTCCTTATTATAGCTGTTGAACAAAACAGCCTTGAAAAACCTTGAAGAGATAATAGGGAAAAATTCTTAAAAAAAAAAAACACCAACTTTTAAAAACCATGGAAAACATGAAGCTAGTGTTCAGCTTCTGAGAACTTCAATGCTTCCCTAAAGAACTACTGTATCAAATGTAGTCATTAACAGTAAAAGGGAATTTTAATTCTCTTTTAAGTTACAAGTTAAGCTTTATTTTTGTGGGATATCACCATAAATGCACACATCTCTTTTCGCAAGTATGAAAATAAGATAATAGAAATTAAAGATATGGACATATTTTTTTCATGGAAAATGATTTCTTTATGCTTTTAGTACATCAGTATTTATATTAGGTTCCTTGCCATTAAGCAAAAAATGCTGAGACAAAAATTTACTACAAGGTATACCTGGACACATGCTCTATTGCTTAAAGCACAACTTCTCAATGACTTCAGGGAACTTTTCAAACTTCTGTGACAATCCGTAACACATAGCAACTCAACATATAAAAACAATCAGGAATGGTTAGTGTGATATATAAAGAACGTTCATGTTAGATGTGCAGAATTTCCAATTGATGATGAAAATATCAAAAGTGTGAGGTAACATTATATTCTCCATGCGTACTTCAAAGTAGAATGCGATCACGTCAGAAATGTTTAGGCAGCTTTTTTAAGCACTTAAGCAACTTAAAACGATGAACCTCTACTCTTTTCCAAATAAAAGGCGAAAATTGAATAAAATATTATCATTCATTCTATAGGTGCAGCTGAACTGAATTCTTAGTTCTACTTGTCTTGCACAAAGTAACCTTTGAAAACTCCAATTTTAGATGTTTTTAGTTCCACGTCTTTAAGCTATAAGCATACAAAATTTGACAAGGAGTCTAAATATTCCAAATACTATAACTTTTTATTTCTTTCCATGAAATAGTTCATATGCTAAACAGGGTATATAAACAAGAAACAAATTTATTGTTTAATGAAGACAAGATACGAAAGTAACTTAGGGCAGTTGTTACCATCATCTTTGTTTACTCAAACCAGATTTGGTTTGGTTGAATCATTTATTATCTGAGGTATTTAAAAAATAATAATCTCAACCAGACCATACTTTCCATTCTACCCAAATATTTGGCAAAGTTCATAAGGCAGGACTGCAAACCTCTATCTCTACATAGCATGCTTACAATAAATATTTCACTTAGGCTTAGTTATATATTCTTTAGTATAAAGTTGCACATCCTTAGAATCATTACATTACTATGGATGCTTCAGAAATTAAAGCAAGTAATTTTTACATAAGTTGTGTTTGAACTCTGAAGTTAAGATGAGGTATGAAAAACGCCACTGAAAGTATGCACTCTTTGCATCTGTGTTCACATTTCCTAATTTTGTTTTCTCATTGTCCTAACCTTGCAAAAATTACACCAATTTAAAATAGGCTTTAAATTAAACTAACTCCCAATATGGCCATAACTTATTACCCAAACCAAACAGGATCCATCTCCCATCAAGCAAACTATACCTATTGACATGATAGTAATGCTGTACATGATTCACCCCTATTTAGATGTAGCCCTTGCCACAAAGGCTTTGATATAGTGATATAGTAAGAAATACACATGGGGTAAGAGATGTAGAATACAAACAAATAGTATTCAATCTATGCAGCACTTGTTTGTTTGTAATGCTGAGTTCGGTCTAAAGTAACAGTAGGGTTTTCTTTTCTAAGACCATTCATGTCATAGCTGCTTTATTATCAAAAGCTTTCTTTCCTAAGTATTTGGAATATAAATGTAAATTTCCATGAGAGCTTAAGATTTCCTTTAATCTCTTGAGACTCCAGTTTCTGAAATAAAGGAATGCACTAAATTTTGCAAGACCTGCAATGAAAATCCTGAATCCTACCATCACCTTTTGGCATGCTAACTCTATGCAACAGCCCATTACACAAATGGTGAGTGAGTTTCTTGCATAGAAACCATGAAAAACAGTAAAGATCCTGTTATTGTTCTCAAGAGGATTTACGTGTTTAAATTGGGTGCAGAAGATATACAGCTTTGTTCCTGATTTACTGTTGCATTTACTGTTCTACATAAAATTGTAGAACCAGGAAGAAGCTGGCAGAACCTTTCTTTGTCCAGTGTTGCAACTTCCTTGGCAGAAAGTTAACTTAGCAAGGAAGTTTCATAGAATCATAGAATGTTTTGGGTTGGAAGGGACCTTAAAGATCATCTGCCATGGGCAAGGACACCTTCCACTACACCAGGTTGCTCAAAGCCCCATCCAACCTGGCCTTGAACACTTCCAGGGACGGGGCACTCACAACTTCTCTGGACAACCTGGTCCAGTGCCTCACCACCCTCAGAGTGAAGAAGTTCCTCCTTATATCTAATCTAAATCTTCTCTCTTTCAGCTTAAATCCACTGTCTCTTGTCCTATCGCTACATGCCCTTGTCAAAAGTCCCTCTCCAGCTTTCTTGTAGACACCCTTTAGCTACTGGAAGTCTGCTAGAAGGTCTCCCCAGAGCCTTCTATTCTCCAGGCTGAACAATCCCAACTCTCTCGGCCTGTCTTCACAGGAGAGGTGCTTCAGCCCTCAGATCATCTTCGTGGCCCTCCGCTGGACTCATGCCAACAAGTCCATGTCTTTTCTGTGCTGAGGACTCCAGAGCTGAAATTAGTACTCCAGGTGGGGTCTCATGAGAGCAGAGTAGAGGGGATGAATCACATTGTTTGACCTACTGGCCACGCTTCTTTTGATGCAGCCTAGGATAGAGTTGGCTTTCTGGGCTGCGAGTGCACATTGCCGGCTCATGTTGAGTTTCTCATCAACCAACACTCCCAATTGCTTCTCCTCAGGGCTGCTCTCAATCCATTCTCCACTCAGCCTGTACTTGTACTTGGGATTGCCCCGACCCATGTGTGGGACGTTGCACTTGGTCTTGTTGAACTTCACGAGGTTCGCATGGGCCCACCTCTCCAGCCTGTCAAGGTCCCTCTGGATGGCATCCCTTCCCTCCAGCATGTTGACCACACCACATAGCTTGGTGTCATCTGCAAACCTGCTGAGAGTGCACTCAATCCCTCTCTCTCCATGTTGCCAACAAAGACATTAAACAGTGCCGGTCCAAGTACCAACCCCTGAGGAACGCCAGTCGTCATTGGCCTCCGCTTGGACATTGCGCCGTTGACTGCAACTCTTTGAGTGCTACCATCCAGCCAATTCCTTATCCACCAAATGTTCCCTCCATCAAAACCATGTCTCTCCTATTTAGAGACAAGGATGTTGTGTGAGACAGTGTCAAATGCTTTGGACAAGTCTAGGTAGATGATGTCAGTTGCTCTTCCCTTATCCTTCAATGCCGTAATTCCATCATAGGCGGTTACCAAATTAGTCAGGCACGATTTGCCCTTAGTGAAGCCATCTTGGCTGTCACCAATCACCCCCTTATTTTCCATATGCCTTAGCATAGTTTTTATTTAAATCAAAACTTCACCTTATATTTAGAAACATATGATCTCCACCAGGTTTTTCATCTGAAACACCAGAGCCCTCAATATTGCCAGTAAAAGGAAGCCATCAAATAAGGACTTTAATAAAGATGCGCAACGGATTCTTCTCCATCTGTGGCAAGCATGCAGTCTATATCCCTATTTCCTATCAGCCTCATAACAAATACCAAATCATTTGTCTTCCTGTCTTCAGTTAGCTCTAGCAGCAGATTTCTCAGAAGACATTATTCAGGAAGTTAATTGATAGGAATGTTCTTGTACTATTCAGCTTCCGCGTTTTAGGCCAACCAAAATTTATGACAGAAGGTACTTCTGCTGGAAGGCAGGAATCTTTTCACTTTAAATTGTCTTTTTCCTTGTGATATTTGTGGTTTGTGACTTTCAATTTAATACAGTAAAGAAGAGTAATCAAGTATACTCTGCTCTGGTCATTTGGGGCAAATGTTTCAGAACACTGCAAAATTTAGTAAGTTTTGTCTAAACGTTTCCAGAACCTGCAAGAATCTGACTTTAGTCAGATCTACAGCGATGAGAAATAAAAACATAATTGCAAGAGCAACATTATTCCAAAAAAAGCTTTCTTTTCCAAGTTAAAAAGCAACTTCTGCTCTGGTTTTGTACCATTCTCCAATTTCATAGAATCATAGAATCGTTAGGGCTGGAAGGGACCTTCAAAGGTCATCTAGTCCAACCCCCCTGCAACAAACAGGGATATCTCCAACTAGATCAGGTTGCTCAGGGCCTCATCCAACCGGGCCTTGAACGTCTCCAGGGATGGAGCATCCACCACCTCTCTGGGCAACCTGTTCCAGTGTTCTACAACTCTCATGGTAAAAATTTTTTCCTAATATCCAACCTGAATCTACCTCCCTCTATTTTAAAACCATTACCCCTTGTCCTATCACAACTGGCCCTCCTGAACAGCCTCTCCCCATCTTTCTTGTAGGCCCCCTTGAGGTACTGGAAGACCGCTATAAGGTCACCCCGGAGCCTCCTCTTCTCCAGGCTGAACAGCCCCAACTCTTTCAGCCTGTCCTCATAGGAAAGGTGCTCCAGCCCTCTTATCATCTTCGTGGCCCTCCTCTGGACCCTCTCCAACTGGTCCATGTCCTTCTTATGTTGGGGACTCCAGAACTGGACGCAATACTCCAAGTGAGGTCTCACGAGGGCAGAGTAGAGGGGGAGAATCACCTCCCTTGACCTGCTGGCCACACTCCTCCTGATGCAGC